CTATGGTGAAAGGTATCTTAATTTTAACATAAATATAAATAATAAGGGACACACCCATTTTGTAACAGAAAAGGGGAAAATTGTTGGTGCTAGGACTGAAAGTTTGTCACTCTAGTTACTTTTCACTATGGTTGTTAAGTTTGACCGTGGTGAATGTCTATTAGTAAATAACAAAAAATTCCTAAAGTTGAGTTATTACTACAGTTGACTAAATGGTTGTAGTAAGATAATGTTACGAAATATATATATTTTGCATGATGGGTTGGACCATTCAGTTAAGTCCAATGAAAGGTCTATGTTGTCAGTCGTTTAGCTATTTAAGTGTCACCCTATTAGATAATTAATATTCTATGAAATTCCTAGACGATAATGAGGGCAGTAATCCTCTCATATTCACTTCTTCGATGATTGTCTCTCAAATTCTACAAGGTACATCGTTCTTATCGTTGTTGATTATTATTTAATATAACAATATGATATAATTTATATCAATTAGACTCTATTAAATCTGTCAATTGACATCGGAAAATATTAATTGTTTAATGGGGCAACACTTAAATAGCTAAACGGTTGTAGGGGTGTTTGCTGGCCAGTTTGGTTCAATTTTGAGAGAATCTGATGCCCAAATCAAAAATATATGGATTCATTTGAATTGGATTTTTATATATTTTTTTGATAAAACCCAAATTGAACCAAATCGAGAAATAACAGGTTAGTTTGGGTTGGATTGTTAGAATACATTAGAAACTAATATGAAAAAATATTTTTTTTTTAATTTCTAATTTACATCAACTGATTTTCTATAATAATATTATTTTTTTCATTTCTTCATATAGGTTGTTAAAGTCAAAAATGATGTTTCATTTTTATTCCTTCTTAAAGTTGAATATCTTATACTAGTTTCCATGAGAATGATATAAATTATATGAATTAATATTATTGGTTCGGGTAGACGGGCTTGCATGTAAAATTTTGGAAATTTGTTGTCTGAACCAATTAAAATCATATTTAATTGGTTTGGTTCAGTATTTTTCTGAACTAAAAATGCTCGACCTAAACATCATGGTTTGATTTGGATACTGGTTTGGTTCGGATTTACCCAAACCAATGAACACCCCTAAACAGTTTAGGGTAAGGACCCATCATTGGGCTTAACAGAATGGTCCAATCCATCATGGTTCATTCAAGCACAAAACACAATCAAATAATTCATCAATAATTAGTGTTTAATAACCATTAATCTAACAATGTAGTAATGCAACTTACAAGCGTTGGCTTTGTCCACCTCCAAATTGTTGGTGGATTTTTCATTAGGGGGCATTGAACATTGTGGGACTTCCTTTTCAAAGCAACACCTTTGTGAGAGACATGCCACATATTCACCTAAAACCTTAAGGTGATAGGTGAGTGGGTTCTCTCACTTATAAATGCTTAAGTCCCCATATTTTCAACCAATGTGGGACTATTACCCACACTACTCACACTTGCTACATTCTCAACGCTCCCCCTCAACTGTGAGTCCACAACGCTCCCCCTCTAGTGGAAGCTCTTTTTACTTCCACAAAATTTTGTACCGCACAAAATGTTTTTTCTTACTCACCGCCCATGTGGCACCATTGACACACTTCAACGGGGCGTTTCTTACTCACCACCCTCGTGGCGCCATTGACTTTCGATACAAGTAAGTCGATCCCTTTTTCAAACTAGGCTCTGATACCATGTGTTGAAGGATTTTTTTCTAGAGATCATTGAAAATTGTGAGACTTCTTTTTTAAAGAAACACTTTTGTGAGAGACACACCACATATTCACCCAAAACCTTAAGGTGATATGTGGGTGAATTCTCTCACTTATAAATGCTCAAGTCTCCATATTTCCAACAAATGTGGGACTATTACCCATACTACTCACACTTACTATACTCTCAACACAAATGAGAACTTGTAGATGTGTACCAAACTAGCATATGCATATTTAATAGAAAAACTTAAAGCATGTTGCCACAAAGCAAAAGGATCCACTAAAGCCAAATTAGGTTTTTCATTCAGAAGGATGCTTTCAAGCTCCTCCCAATCACTACCTTCTAAGACTACATTCATACCAATAACAAAATTAATTCTACAGTACCGGATAACATTGATCCAAACCTTTGCAGCCTCTACTTTAGGCCTAAAATCATGGACAAGCTCGAATAGGCATGAAAATAAAAGCTTGAAAGACATTGCACCCTTAATTAATTCATTTGAAATTCATATATATATATATATATATATATATATATATATATATATATATATGTGTGTGTGTGTGTGTGTGTGTGTGTGTGTGTGTGTGTGTGTGTGTGTGTGTGTGTGTGTGTGAGAGAGAGAGAGAGAGAGAGAGAGAGAGAGAGAGAGAGAGAGAGAGAGAGAGAGAGAAAAGGCATTAAGGTCAATGTACAAAAAAAAGGAGATTGATAAAAGCACAAGAGGTACCAAAAATCAACCAAAAGAGAATTGAAAGAAAGAAAATATAACTAAAGAACAAACATCTAATAAAACAAAGTGCCAACAACAAAATCGCCAAAACAAAACGGAGAAAATAACTAGGAATGTCAGAAATATGAACAAAAGAAAAAATAACACGGGCTAGATTTCCTCAATCAAGGGGAAAAAAACAGCAACCAATCACCACCGAAGCAATAAGAACATGCCAAAAGGAATCCGAAGACAATAAAGTCGTTATTTGCTCAGCCGCATAACATAGTTCTTGAGCCATTCCAAAAAAAGCACAAGATTTCACCTCAGATCTACAAGAATATTATTTCCAAGCCAAAAGAGTACCCATGTCTTCCACGTCCTTCGCAATCATTAATTCACCATAGAACACAATATCATTATGAGTTTTCCATATCGACCAGACCACAACATGCAAAGTCATAAGATAACTCCCTTAAACCGATCAGGACTACTAAGAGGGAAAAACATATAATACAAAGTCAGTGTATCTCTGGGTAGAGCTACAGACCAACTCAATCATCTAAAAATCCTATACATAACTGATACCACAACTTCACAGGTTACGAAAAGATGGACAAACGACTATAGGACTCTAGAACAAAAAGGACAAGAGACCCCTCTTTTAAGTAAGTTATCTCTAGAAGGAATCCTATCCTGCAGATGCTGCCAAGAGTAAACTATTACTTTATAGGGAGTCCAACTACCCCAAATACTAGCTAGAACCTGCTCTACCAATGAGACCTGGCGATTCCTAGAAAAATCACATGTGAGAAGAAAAAGGTATGTAGAGGCCACCGAGTAGGTGTCATCTTTAGAGTGACACCGCCCTCATTTATCATTAATTCATTTGTTAGCCCTTTGCTTCATTACCTCTTTAGTTGTGTTAACTTCATATATTTTTTAAGAGAATTTCTTATCCCACCCCTTGGCCTTCTTAAGCACTAGGCGCTCTGCCGAAAATACCCCATGATTCCGGAGATGTATCTCCGGACGCACCTTTTTTCAGTTTTTTTTTTAAAATTAATTCCATAGATATGTCTACGGAATATTTCTGTATGCGTATTTACGGAAGAAAACCAGAAACAGAATACTAGAAAATCAACATTGCAACTATAAAATCAATATTTATAAAATAAAACCGGCGTTACATTGATGAAATCGACAGAAATTTAAATACTACATTTCAATAATCCGGTGGACGCTTGTACATCTCTAAGATGTCATAGACCGTTCTTCGGACCGTCGCCTCTAACTCAAGCGGAATTTTCTCTACGAAACCGAAATACGTTCGCCATATCACCCTAACATCGTCTTGATTCTTGAGCTCAAACTTGCTATAAACAACGTTCCCTTTGTTGTCACATGAAGGTGAACGATACTCAAGCTTCACAATCTTTCGTTTGTCATTGTGAGGTAGACGATATTGGATCTCGTCTTGCTGGAGTTTTTGGAGTGAAAAATGATATTGAGAATGTAAGATTTTTTAGGTTGGTGAAGGTGAGTGTGGAAGAAGAAAATATAACAATGGGGGAGTGATCATGCAGGTTTCAAATATAGCAGAAACTTCTGGAGCTGTATCTACAGAACAATTTGGCGCTTAGACGTTCTGGAGGTGCATCTACGGAAGTTTCCCTGATCTGAATTATTTTGAAGTTTTTCCCAGCGTTTACCTGTTTAAAATTATTCAGTAGATGTAGCTCTAAAAAAAACCAAATTTTAGCAACAAAAAAAAAAGTTGCGTCCGGATATGTATCTCCGAAAATAAAAGACATAAAAAAAATGCGCCAAATACCTAAGATTATCAAGAGGTAGATTAAATTGTTTTTTAAAAAAAATATTGATATAATCATTTTTATATACATTCATTTCTTAGTTTCATAATGCTTCCAAATGCCTCTATTTTCATTTGCAGTTGGAGGGGGTAAATTGAAGTTGAACAATTAGAATGACAAACAAATACTATTTTGTCTTTCATTATTTATTTATTTATTATTTAGTTGCCAATTCCCTCAAGAAGAGTGTGTCGTTGAGCACACCCATCTGATGAGTTTAAAATTGGCATTTTTTATTTATTTGTAGGTTGGAAGTTTTTCTCCAAGTAAAATGAGCATGATGTTATTAGGGTCACACCATCAATAGTCATTTTCATTCTTTTCTCCAAGTAAAATGAGCATGATGTTATTAGGGTCACACCATCAATAGTCATTTTCATTCTTTTCTCCAAGTAAAATGAGCATGATGTTATTAGGGTCACACCATCAATAGTCATTTTCATTCTCCTAGTTTAATCCATTTGTTTGTTTATGTCAGCATTTTATAATTTGATTGTTGATTTGTGGTTAGTCCATGACATTTAGCAAAACACAAAGAAGAAAAAAGAAGCAACTCAAACCAATCTACAAATACAGAAAAGATGGGATTATCAAAATTGCTTTTACAAATACAAGTGTATTATCATAAAATATAATATAATCAGGTATCACAACTATCCCTGCATCACAAACTATTTATCTGCCCCACTCGCAGACGCTGGTGCCGCCTTAACTATGCTTAGATAACCACCATCCTTAGTAGCTCCAGTCGCTGCTTTAATCTCATTGCAATGGTTAATGAATTTGCTCACCTCCTGGTTTAACCGAATTTCAAATATCTCTAGTAAGCAGAGTGTTACAACAGATAAAGATAACATTTATATAGAAGTTATTTCTAAGAAATAATAATGAACAAAACTACAATCCTTGAATAAGTTGCTTCTAAAAGTTACCATATTAAAATAAGACAAAAGATTACAGCTAAAGTTTTCAAAGACTTGTACAAATTTGCTTACAAGCTATGCCATAAGATAAGCCCAAAAATTTACCAGTAGATATAAACCCAGTAAGCTGTACAAACACCATATAAACACCTCATAAGTTGGATAAAATAAGTGTATGACAGAGTTGGATAAAATAAGTGTATGACAGCTTATAGCATAAACTATTTTTTTCATCATGATCTTCGAAATACTTTATACAAGTTTGTTTTTTTCATAAGCAATATACTTCAATAGACTCTTCTACCCGCATAAACTCCTCTTGGCAGGGTGTTTCAGGTGTTTAACACAGTTTATAAAATCAGTTTATGACTTACTCACAAACTGTTTTTATTCATATAATTTTAATAAGTTCTTAGGAACAGCTTATGAAAATAAGCTTAAAATTATATAGAAACATTAAACCATGTTTGCTTTTTCACTGCCGCTTATTTACAAGCTCTTATCCTATAAACGCTTAATTAATCTGTTTGATTGCAGATACTAACCATTTGTTACTCAAAATTCACAGCCGAATCAGAACGGCAATTGAATCCACCAAACGCACAAAAATAAACATGAAAAACACGATAGGAACTTACACGATCAGCATCCATATCCTTTGTAACCTTAGATGGCTTTATGAATCTCTTCCCTAGTAAGAAAAGAGTATAAATTATTACAGAAGAATATACGGAAAATATAAACAAAAAAGTGGGAAAAGAAAGTACCCTTGCGAGTCTGAGGAACTTTGCCATGACGATTAGCAGGAATCGATTTCTTCTTACTTTGCCCCTTGAAAAGTTTAGATTTTTGCGTCATTCTTCTTCTCTGCTTCTAATTGAGATAATTAGGGTTAGGCTTTTGATTTGAAAATCTGATAAATTTCATAACACTGTAGCTACTAGCTATCACCTATTGGGCTTTCATTGTTTTGGATCGTTAATAACCAGCCTATCCCATGGAAATTTTATTAATTCTCTTATAAAAATTTATTATTTTTTTTCATTTATTTACAGGTAGATTTTTTTTTCAAGTCTTCCGGTTCTTAATTTTTTTATTTGTCCACGGAAGATTTTTTAAAAATTTTACGATTCACATTTTTTTTTCTTTGTTTACCGAAAGACTTTTTGGAAGTCTTCCGATTATTTTTTTTATTTGATAATCGAAAAAGTCTTCCGGTTCTTTTTTTTTTATTTTTAATTAATATTTAAGATTTATTAATTTTATATAAACACTAATTTAGTGAATTTTTTTCTTATACTTAAAATATAAAAATTCTATAAATAGAGAATCATTTTCAGAATATTTTCTATTTGCTATAATTATTAGAATACTATGAGATTAAAATCATTTATTTTAAATGATCATAATAGTAAAAAATTTATCTATTATGCTTAATATATAAAAATTTTATAAATAGATTTTCTTTTTAGAAATATTTTCTATTTGCTATAATTATCATAATAATATCACATTAGTATTATATATTTAGAATTTGCAAACAAATCTTACTAAACTTGCAAATTTACCGTATTCAATATATTTAATCAAATGAAAACATATGTGATAAATTAATAATGTATTTTAATTTAAAATAATCACAATAATATAACTTGCAAAAAAACAAAAACTAAATCGAACTTTCAATTAAATAAATCAACCAAATTAAAATATAAGTAATAATTTCACTTTATTTAATATTTTTAATAAAATAAAAATATAAGATATAAATAAATAATATACTTTATTTAAAGTAAGTACAGTATAGAACATGCAAAAAAGTTATAAATAAAAAAAGATCAAACAAAAATGAAAAAAAAAAAATTATATTCTTAATTTTTTTAATTAAATAAAAATATGGGTAATAAAACAATATTGTTTTATATTTATAATTATGTGAATTTTAAAGTGTAGATTAAATACTATATTCATAGTAGTATTCAAAATTCAATAAGATATTTGAGAAAAATTCTACTATTATGATCATTTAAAATAAATGATTTTAATCTCATTTATTTTAAATGATCATAATAGTAGAATTTTCTCAAATATCTTATTAATCTTGAAAATAAATAAATAAAATAAATTTAAATATAGGATATAAGTTTACATTATTCAATATATTTAATCAAATGAAAATATATGTGATAAATCAATAATGTATTTTGAAAAAAAGTTTTGAATTTTATGTCATTATTTAAAAAATAAAATGTTATAATTTTAACTTAAAGATACAATTAGAATTTTAATTACAAGAAAGGTTAATTTTAATTTAAAAAGAAAAGAGGTGATGGAAATTTTATTTTTAAAAAGAAGGAAGTTAATTGTAATTTTAGAAACAAGAAAAGTGGGTTTTAATTTTATAAAAACTAATTTTTTAAAGAAAAAGTTAGAAGGGTTAATTTAACTTTTAAAAAAATGTTAGTGAAAACTTAATTTTAATCTAAAAGAAAGGTTAGATCTAATTGAAAAGGTTAGTAATTACTTAAAAAAGATTTTAGTTTTAAATAAAAAAAGTTTTTTATTTTTATTTTTTATATTATTGGAAAAAAAAAGTTCTAGTTTTAGAAGTTTAAATTTTTAAAAGGATTCAATTATCAAAAAACTCAATTTTAGATGCTTGAATTTAAAAACAATTCTTGATTATTAAAAAAAGTTTTGATTGGAATAAAAAAAAAAAAGATGATTTTAAATCATACAAAGAAGTTTTTTCTAAATCCTAAGTTATTAGGATAACAAATGTTGCTACCAAAACTATATGCCAAAAATGTTACTAAACAAAAATTAATGACAGACTAATTATCAATGAAAATAATAAAAAATGAATAGACTAATAAATGAGGAAGGAAAGGGGACGTGTTCATTTGCTTGAACAATCAGAGTATTGTTTTGTCTTCTCTTTTCCTTAAGATATTTGAGAAAATTCTACTATTATGATCATTTAAAATAAATTATTTTAATCTCATTTATTTTAAATGATCATAATAGTAGAATTTTCTCAAATATCTTATTAATCTTGAATACTACTATGAATATAGTATTTAATCTATACTTTAGAACTCACATAATTATAAATATAAAACAATATTGTTTTATTACCCATATTTTTATTTAATTAAAAAAAATTAAGAATATAAATTTATTATTTGTTTTTCATTTTTTTTGATCTTTTTTTATTTATAACTTTTTTGCATGTTCTATACTTTAAATAAAATATATTATTTATTTATATCTTATATTTTTATTTTATTAAAAATATTAAATAAAGTGAAATTATAACTTATATTTTAATTTGGTTGATTTATTTAATTGAAAGTTCGATTTAGTTTTTATTTTTTGCAAGTTATATTATTGTGATTATTTTAAATTAAAATACATTATTAATTTATCACATATGTTTTGATTTGATTAAATATATTGAATACGGTAAATTTGCAAGTTTAGTAAGATTTGTTTGCAAATTCTAAATATATAATACTAATGTGATATTATTATGATAATTATAGAAAATAGAAAATATTTCTAAATAAAAATTTATATTTATAGAATTTTTATATATTAAGCATAATAGATAAAAGAGAAACTTGCTCTTGCTTCCAACTCTTTTCTGATGGCAACTTGCTCTTGCTGAATCTGCTCCATCATTCATCTTGTATTAGCTCTAGTAGCGTACTGGTGTCGAGGAATCAGCTTGATTTATTGGATAGGAAGGAAAGAGAAACATAAGAAACTGCTGAAGGAAGGAGAACGTAAGATGCACAACAAATGAGATGCAATGCAAATGATATGCAATGCAAGATGCAAGATCCAGGATCACAGGATCACAAATTCAAACAGTTTGGAAGTTAGTCGGATGAACGGTTCAAGGATCACAGTCACTGCTTACAAAAACCCCACGGGTAGGATTCTAAAACGGATAAGTGCCTAGAGTCATGGATATCTTTCAAAGATATTACAGTCATGACAAAGCTTCATCACAACGATAATATCCTCAAACGAATCTCCTCTAGGTGAGGCTTTCGTATCTTCCACGCAAGAAATACTTCTCGGAGGCGTCAACTACACAACCATCGACACACGGGTTCTAGAAAAGGTTCTCAGAGTCATAGATCAAGGTTGAAAATATTACTGTAAGGAAGTAATACGTTCAAGGGATCTCATCTGATTGGGGCGTTTGTATTAATCCACAAGGAATCAACACTACCAATCACCATGGATAAAATGGTTAAAGGTCCTTGGGATCAATGATTCATGCTCGAAAACACTACTGCTATGGCAAAGACTTACCACAACAACAAAATCTCCAAGAGAATCTACTCCAAGCGGGGCTTTCGCTTCAACTCAACGTGAAAGACTCCACGCAAGTATCCACTACACAACCACCATCCTAATCCTAGGGTTTTACTCAGACTCGGGTGTAGAGCCATCTCAAAAAAATTCCCAAAAGCATAACAACCCCACAATGTCACAAGCACAAGCAAAACAGATAAGGATACAAATAATTAAGCGAGAAGAAGAAAACTTTAAGCAGAGCTAACAAGCTCACAACTTGAACTAAGATAGGCTCGGCTCTCTCTTGCATGGAGCACTAATTTCCCAGCAGAGTCGCCAGCTATCAAACCTCGAAAAATCACAAAGACATTTCGAAGAAACGATTCTCATGCGAAAGGCGCGGAAACGCGGTTTGACAGAGTCGCCACCGAACTTTATTTTTCCGGAATGAACGGGAGAGGAAACTATCGAGAAAACCTCATAAAAGCGGAACGAACACGGCCGTCGCAACCAAATGTTCCTGGGTTCGGGAGTCGGTTACACAAGAGGAAGGTATTAGCACCCCTCACGTCCGTTGTACTCAACGGAAACCTCTTAATTCGAGTTGTGATGAATGTTAGCTAAGCTTAATTCTTCTCTTCTCAATACTAAATACTATAACAAAACTATAAAGGAATAGACACTATGGGAAAGGGGATAGTTAGAGGATAAGATGCTCGCCAAGGATTGGGGCTCTTGTGTCTACTTATACTCATTCGAACGAGAATGAGAAATCAGAGCATCATAGTTCGACTACGGGAAAGGATGGGGATGGACGGAAGATGAATGGGATTGTGTGAAATAATGGAGAAAGGGGAAGTGTGTTCTCCAATATCATCTCAATCTTGTGCCTACGTATCTTACAATCGGACGGGAATGAAGAATCAGAGTATTCGTAGTTCGTGGTAACAACCACGAAAGAAACTGGGAAATGGAGGGTAGGTAGAAGGTAGCTTGCCAAGATCATCGCAATCTTGTGGCTACGTATCTTACATTCGGACGAGAATGAAGAATCAGAGCAGTCATAGTTCGTGGTAACAACTACGAAAGAAACTGGATTGAATGGGTTTGAAGTTGAACTGGTTTGAAGATGGGTACGGATGACGATAACTCGAAGCTTAAGAAAGACTTCTCAGACCCAAGTAATCGGGAGAGTGAACCAAATACTTGGAGCTCTCTCTTTTTCATCTTGAAGATAAGGTTGTACTTGAAAAGATGAGTTTGAAGTGATGACGATTACTTAAAGCTTAAGAAAGACTTCTTGGACCCAAGTAATCGGGAGAGCGAACCAAAGACTTGAAACTCTCTCTTTTTCATCGCAAAAGGAAGTTGTATTTGAAAGGGTGAATTTGAATCGATGACAATTACTTGAAGCTTAAGAAAGACTTCTTGGACCCAAGGAATCGGGAGAGCGAACCAAAAACTTGGAACTCTCTCTCTTTTTCATCGCAAAAGAAGTTGTGTTTGAATGAGTGGTTGGAATCGGATGACAATTACTTGAAGCTTAA